ATGGTGAGATTTTCTTTATCCTTTTATTCATTTAAAGCCTCTAAGTTGATGTTAAATTTTTATGGTAGGCTAGTGTTATAGAAAGAACATAGGGTATGAATCTCACCAAATACTTCCCATCATTTCCTTAAATGATTCCAAGCCCTACTTCTCACTTCTCTAATCTCTTGAAATTAACCATGCACCTTATTTCTTTTAGTTATAAGATCTCTCTTCGGAGAAATCATCATAATCCTAAAATTAACAAAGTGAGTTTATATTTAGTCTGTAACTGTTACACTAGAATGGAAACGATGTTTAAACATGATTCATCCTTTTAACTATTTATATAATATCCATATGTCATTTTCTTTAATTAAATTTAGCTCACACGAACCACTAAGCATAATCATCAACTGTACATTTTGATAAGTATTGACCTTTTTTTTGTAATAGTTTACTTACCCGTAAAACTGCATCTATGTTGTAGATGAACATCCGTAATCTTGCTTGGATGTGTAACAGATTATATTCAAGACAAAAAGGACTTAAAAATATGTTCTTGAATGGCGTTGAGGAATTCGTTTAGGTGGCATCACACCTGCCCTATTATTCTAAGGGTAAAGTTATGGTGTCCTTATGCGAAGCATAAAAATCAAGCACTCCTGTCACCTAAGAAAATTAACTTGGATCTTTATCACAAGGGATTCAAAACTAATTATTGGCACCGAACTACGCATAGTGAGCAAGAACCTAAAGTTCAGTTCAAACAATGAGGTGTCTAGATAAGTTATGCTCCCCATGCAGAGGAATTTGATCGTGAAACTTAAGAAGAAATGATATGCGGAGTTTGATCCTTTTGTTTTGGTATGCCAAGCTACACAGGTTTATTACTTTCAATACCCTAATAGAGAAAGCAATAAATTTGATTGAGCTATGGTTGTGAAGAGTAAACAAAAGAAAACAATTGAACGACATTGTTGTATAAAACCAATTCACCACAAGAAAAATATGTCACATTTTTGTATTAACTGAAGCACAAATGATGAAATATTTGCACTAGAGGATACCACAGGGATTTTTGAAGAGGTTGCTCATAGTTTGGATGACGATGATGAGAAAAGCGAAGAAGAAATTTTAGGTTAATATTTGATGGTGAATTTTTTTGATGAAACTTAATAATAAATGTACACAAAATTTAGATTGTTTGTTACTACTGCTACTTTTTGTCTTTTACTTTTATTGTTCTGAGACATAGTTCTTTACTCTCGTTTTCCCTATTTTTAGACAAAGCTACTACTTGCGTTTTACCTTTACAGCACTATTTCTTTATGTTTATGATTATTTTTTTTGTTAGTACTAATCTTTTAATGTCATTCATTTATTTGTAGATGACCACAGGTGGTGCAGATGATCAACCACCTCATAGAACCTGTATTATGGGGACCTTTGAGACCACCTACCATAGTAGGAAGAGTAGGTCGTCTACTCCTGTAAATGCTTCCACTACTGTTGCACCTCAAGTGACACCAGCTCCTCTACTTGATGCTGCTACACCCCTTGTGGCACCTCTTTGCCCTTCGATTGTTGCTACACTTCTTGCGGCACCTCCTCCCACACCTGTTGATACCACTCCTCATGTGACACCAAATTCCGCACCCAATGTCATCCCTTCTCCTGTGATGCCAACTACTTCCACATCTAGCACCCCCACCAACTGTTGGCACCGCTCTTGAGCTTAGCCCATCGACTCTTGTCCCCCCGAGGGTACACTTACTGCCATAGGGGGACTCACACGGTATTTTAACATTGTATTATGTTTATTCTTCATGATATATGTTTTTTTAAACTATTTTATTTTTTAAGCAGATTCATTCCTCATAAGCTGTCTGTCATCTACATCACAGAGATTATAAGAAGCAAATACAATGATCCCTATCTGTCGTGAAAGCAAATACGTGTAGCCACTCAAGACATGTGATTTAGGGAGTATGAGCTATGATCATTTAATTTAAATTGGATTTGTAAACTTGATTTAATATTTTATACTAAATGATTGATTATTTTTCACGTTGCAAAGGTCCTTCACGTAGTTCTTAGAGCACCACCACTAAATCCACCGAATTTTTGAGATTTAGAGCAGGCATTGCTTTGTTGATATGTTCACGACAGCATGTTGAAGGGGCAAGTGGTCTGCCTGAATTAGTGATGGGCTTTGGGGTCAATTGACCATGGCTTGGGCCTCTTCTAATTGTGAGAGGACGAGCCAGATGAACCGAGCGAACCATGCAACGAAAAAGGCCAGGGGAGCTGCGCTCCATATTGGCAGATCAATCCCCCATATGAAGCACTACAAAAGGGTGGTAAGATTTTTTACATATTTAAATATTAATTCAATTTTTGGAGTAATTATTTAGTGTTAACCATTTTTGTAAGCTATACAGGCTATGGTGTTGAGCTGTGCTCCCTTCAGTGCGAAGCTGCATATTCGAAGCTGTCGGCACTATTTTTGGTGTGGGGTTTG